AAAAAAAAAAAAAAAAAAAATGAAGAGTGTGTGAACAATACCAACACTTCACTGTTTACATGAACAGTGGAAATAATTTTTTTTTTAAATATTCTAAAATGATGGTTTATTTGAAAAAATAAAAATGAGACTGTGATATTAATATCGAACTTTTATGTTTTAAATGTTGCTTGTAATAATTGCTACGAGCTTATCCTAACTTTGTGTAACGTTTGTTAATAATTTTCTTAAGAGAGAAATTTAAAGATTTTGTCTTTTTATTTTTTAAGTTATAACATGTAAGAATTTGAAAGATCCTTGGCATTTACCAACCACTTATCAACCACCATCCAACGACTCTAAGATATGTAATGTTGGTAACAAAAGAAATGATTATTAAAAAAAATTTGTGAAAATTTACATTTTTTACTTGTCTCCTTACAGGGCCGATCCTGTGATTGTCGGAGCCTCAGACAAAGCCTAAAAATTGGGCCCCCTCCCGAAATCAAAGTAAATGCAATGTATAAAGGATATATATATAGTTGGGTAATTGGACTAAGGCTATGGGCATTGGATTGGATTTGTGCCTGAAGTTGTGGATTGCATTTCTGCATCACTGGATCTAGTTCAAGTTCAACTAAAAAAAAAAAATCTAGGCCCAAAGTGAGGCCTCCCTAAATGTTGGGTCTGAGGTACAGGCCTCATTTGCCTAGCTCCAAGATCGGGCCTGTCTCCTTACAGATTTCATGACATGCACATTTTTCTTTGCTAAATTAATTATTTATATCACAAGTATGATTCTTTTACTTATATATGCGAGTATAAAATACATTATGTTACAATGATAAGTACATAAGCATGATATGTTAGGCATAATGTTTGGGCAAACAGATGACTTGTCCCAATAGGGACACTAATAGAATTGAACTATGATGTATAGAAGTTTGATATGGAAGATATTATTTTTCCATAAGGATAAGGAGTTAAAAACCAAATATCCAAAACCCCTCAATTAGTCAAAATATAATTTTGAGGACGAAATTATTTTCAGGGGTGGGTATTGTGAAGCCCCAAAAAATTTTATAGAATAGAATTTTTTTTTTTAGATGCTATATTTTATATTTTTGAAGGTTGAAGGATTACAACCGAATATATTTTAAATTCTAATAGTTTTGGGGTCAAATAATTAGATTTTGATACAACGAGTTTTAGCATATCAATGTTGGGCTCGATGGGTAGTTCGTATTAAATGACGCACAATGAATTTGAGAAATAATTATTTCAGAGAAGTTAAACCCAAGCTATTCACGTTGAAAGATATTATCTTAAATAGTAATTAATTAAGATAATTAAAAAATTTATGAATGATGGTAGCGTGTAGAAATATCAATCCTATTTTAAATTTTGTTTTCGTTTTCGTTTTCGTTTTCGTTT